GGATGCGACCATAAAAGGGGGGCGCCACTTGGAAGCAGGTGCTGCCTGCACTAAGCACGGCGGAATCGCTCGGAATGCGGCGGAGACGTAGGCGCAAGATCGCGAAGGGGAGCGGAGGTGAGAGCAAGAGGATAACCTCGCAGCCATTCACTGCAGCCGCCGGTGTTTGAGGGTCCTCTTCCCAGTCTTTCCCAATTAGGAATGAGGCATTCCTCTAAGACCCTAAGCAGCTCCAACTCCACGAGCGGTTTCGTCAAAAACGTGTCCATGCCAGATTCATAGCATTTGGACCGAGTCTCGGGTTGAATGTCAGCAGTGAGAGCAATGACAGGTATGTGGTGTTGGAACAGCTTCCCCGGCGAAGGAAGCTCTTCACTGTTTGCCAATGGAGGACTCGGACAGAGAGGTACAATGGGAGAAGGAGGTGTCGATTGTTGTCCTTGCGGTTGGCAGGCAGCGATTGACGAAACAGCAGCGGTGGACATAGATCGATCGTCGAGAGCGGCGGCAATCGTGGGAAAAGGAGAAGGAGGAGGAGAAGGTGTAGGTGTAGGTGCCGCCGCATTTGCAGTGTGATTGTGATTGTTGTTGTCGACAACACTTGGATTGTAAAGAATACCCTCCTTGAGCATCCTCCGGATGCGTCGCGTGGCTTCGAAGCCGTCCATTTCGGGCATTTGCACGTCCATGAAGATGCAATCGAACGGCTTCTCCTTGAGTTTGTCGAGGGCCTGGCGCCCCCCTTCCACGAGGGTAACTACCGCACCGCACCTGCCGAGAAGCTTTCCCACCACCTTCCTATTGACGCAGTTGTCGTCAACAACAAGCACTTGCCTCTTCCCGAGAATCTTACACATGGCGTTGAAGATGGCTTTCTGCTCACTAGAGCCGACAGCAACGCTGACGGCGCGATGCTCCCTCTCCAAGCCAGGGAGAGGGCCAGAAGAGGGAGGACCGCAGCCCGGCCGGCCGGCTTTGCTGCGCGCCGCGTCAGCCATCGAATCCCCGGTCGACAACGACCCTTCTCGACCCGTCTCTCCTCCTCCTCCTTCCACTCCTCCTCCTCCTGCTCCTCCTCCTCCTTCTGCTCCAATTGCTACCAAGCCGTCAAGACCCGTCGAGGGGGACAACACTGACGTAGGCGATCTGGTGCCTGTCAGAAGCTCTGTGAAACAGAGTGCCAACGTACTTCGCCGGTAGGGTTTGACAAGCACGGCGTCAAAGCCGGCGTCCTCGGCGGCGGCTCTTGAGGCCGGTTGGCGCACAGCAGCAATCAGCAGCAACTGAACGGGCTGAGGAGCGCTGTGCACTTGAAGGGACGGAGGAGGAGGTAGTGATCTACCAACAATAGCACATCCTGAGGGTGCTCCGGCATGCGATACAACCCCTTGAATGGGGGTTGTTGACGTTCTCATCAGCGTTGCACGCCAGTCCTTATCGTAGCCCCCGTTCTTCAGGATGAACCCTTCATCCAGCACCACCATCTGAAACTTCCTTCTGTCTCCCGGACCGTGCGTCGAAGACGGGGACAACAATTCGTCCACGTGGCCTCCTGCAGCTGCCGCTGGCGCGGGCGACTGTGCTGCTGCTGCTGCTGCTGATCCTGGGCCACGTCTGCCGCGAAAAAGCGGAGAGGGCTTGTTGTGAGGAGGGGGCGGCGCGGCCGTTGTGAAAGGCTGGTGTTGAGCCATTTGCGGAGAAAGCGGCGCAGGGGGTGTTGTGACTATCGTCTGGAGGAGAGAAGCAGCAGGTGCGCTTGACAGGGCTTTTGGCTGGATGAACAAAGAGGACATCTTGAGCACATCCGCCGCCTGGTCCACCGTCTCCACCTCCTCAATCCACGCTCCTAACCTCTTGAGGTGACAGGCGGCGACCATTCGCCTCACGTGTTTATCGTCTACCACCACCACGGTCAAGCCTTCAAGAACATTGTCTTCGGATGCTGGCAGGTTCGACGGCTGCTGCTGCAGCCTCGGCAGAATGCCCACCGGTGTCCCCCTTCCTCCTCCTCCCATCGCGTTCCTCTCAACGCCTACCACCCCAGAATGAATCTCGCCGGCTTCCTGCGCTCTGTGCAGATCGGGACGCAGTCGAGTTGGCGATCTCTCCGACAGCGTCAGCGACGATACCGACGTGTCTAACGAGACTGGAGCGGGAGAGTACGCCGACTGCAGGACCATGTCGAAGAAGAAGGTCGAGCCCAAGCCTGGCCGGCTGCAGAAGCCCATCCTGCCCCCCATCAATCGTACTAGCCGTTGGGATATCGAGAGACCGATGCCGGTGCCGCCGTGCAGACGCGTAGTACTTGTATCGGCTTGGATGAACGGTTTGCCCACGGTCCGCTGAGCCTTCCACGGGATTCCACAACCCGTATCTTCCACAGAGACGACGATGCGGACCGGTCGCTCATCAGCGGTAGTACCACACCAGACCGGTCGGCCAGAGAAGCTCTCCCCAATGTTGCTCCAACTGCTGGGACACTCGACGACGGCCAGACCACTCAGCGTCGGATACTCTTCCTGCCGCACCGCGCCGCCGGTGATATCACCAGCAGGAAGAAGATTATTGACCGACACGCAGCTCTCTGTCTCGCCTCCCTTTTCTCCTCCTCCTCCTCCTCCTCCTCCCTCTTCTTCGTGGTTATCGCCTGCTGACTCATCCTTTGTCTGCATTCGAATCCATTTCTGCCATGCGCTGTCGCCGCTCGATGAGGTGACCTCCACCGTCAGATCGTCATCCATCATCACGACGGGCGAGATGAACCTAGATCGATTCCACCATTCGCTGCCCCGGCCGCCCGGCCCCCCTGCCAGCGACCTGACCATCGACGAAGAGGCGTCCTTGTCTGCTCCTTCTCCTCCTGCCAGAAACTTTGGCGAGCTCCTCGCTGAGCTCATTTCAAGGTTCCTCCATCGTCTTCCACTTACCCCTCCTCCTCCTCCTCCCCCTCCTCCTCCTAATACACTGGAGATACTCGACGAGGAATCCCACGCTCCCCCGGTCATGAACTCCACGCTTCGCCTACGTCTCTCTCCCAACGAGAACCTTCTCCTCACTTTCCCGGCCATTCCGCCACTCGAATCGACGGAGTCTCTTCCTCCTCCTCCTCCTCCTCCTCCTCCGCCTCCTCCTCCTGCTGCTCCTGCTGCCGCTGCTGATCCCCCAACGGCTCCCGCACCCGTTGTTACGAATGAACAGAGCGACACGTCTTCGTCCGGCTGCGCCATTCGCACGCAGATGAATATGTGTCCCTCTTGTGTGAACTTGAGCGCATTGCCGACCAGATTCACCAACACCTGCCTGAATCTCAACGGGTCCCCGATCACTCGATCCGGCAGCAGATCGTCTAGGAACGCCGCCAACTCCACCCGCGGCTGCTCCCTCGACTTCTCCACGAAGAACCCCAACACGTTGTCCACCTCCTCTCTGAGGTCGAACGGAATCGCCTCCAGAACCATGCACCCGGCCTCGATCTTGGACAAATCCAGAACATCGTTGATGAGAGAGAAAAGCGTATTGCCACACAGCCGCGCCGTCTCCACGTAGTCATGCTGAGTCACGTCCAGCGGCGTTTCCGATAACAACTTCAGCATCCCTAGGACCCCATTCATTGGGGTCCTCATCTCGTGCGATATCGTCGCCAAGAAGCTGCCCTTCGCCTTATTAGCGACTTCGGCGGCGTTCTTCGCTTCTCGCATTTCGTCGCCCAGCAGCTGCATTCTGTCCATATCTCTCTTCATCTGTCTGATGCTTCGAGTCGACGCCCAAATGATATACGCGCCTAGGATCACGATGAGCATCAGCAACGAAGTCCATTCCACTGCTCGGGCGGGAAAGGCACTCCAATGGTGACTGCGGCAGTGCATCTCGTACTTGCGCCTTTGATCGCCAAGGCAAAGTTTCGTCTTGTACGTATACCTAATCGAGCGGCTGCAACCAGTCTCCGTCGTCCTGGGGTAATAGAGCACGGGGGGCTCACTCTCATTCGTTGTGTCGTAGATGAAAGCGTGGAGTTTGTCTTGAAGACCACTTCTGTTCACCGAGCTTTGCACCATGCCTGCGAAGTCCAGGCTTGCCAACACCAGCCCTCGACAAGAACGTGGGGCAGAGGAGTTAAAGGCAGCATCCAAGGGAGGAGGAGGAGGAGGAGGAGGAGGAGGAGGAGGAGGAGGAGGAGGGGTCGCAGTGGCAAAGTGGACTTGCCGATGGCTGTACTTGTCCAATTCTGGAGATTCAGGTGAAGTAGAGTTTTCGTCCCGCGCAAAGGGGGATGCTTGCAGAATGATCCCGCGGCTGTCCATCGGACCAAGTGCATGACCCCTGCGCAATTCACATGCATCTCCCAGAAGCCTTGGCATCTGTTCGTCGGTCACTAGCATATCTGTGCCCACATCTGGCAAATGAGGCGGGCCATCCGACGATTGTGCTTGACGGAATATCACGGGAGCGTACGCCTCCCTCATTCCCGCCTTCTCCCCCCCGGGGTCTCGGATTGCCCACCCCATCCTCCTCTCAAATTCACCCCTGTTATCTCTATAAACCCACTCTACGAACGCAACTTCGCTTACCATCCTTCGCGCGTAGGCCGTCGCATTCACGTAATCGCTCACATGTTTCCAACTGTACCCTCCTCCTCCTCCTCCTCCTGCTGCCGCAACCTCCTCTCGTGCTTGATAGTAAAATACGTGCACTAGATCTCCTAGCGATTTCGCTTCGCTGGCTATGTTTTCCACCTTGTCAGATAGTCCGCGCGACCACGCCGTGCAATGCGTCTTCACCGAGTTCTGCTGAATTTCCATTTCCTTCGAATATATTATCATGAAGCATGACGTCGACGCCGACACCCCCAGCACCAGCCACAGGATGAGTATCGGCCATCGCCACGCACTGCTGGCTATCAGGAACCGTCGCAAGCGGTGGGAAGCCAGGCACGGTCTTTCTCCCGCCTCATCGCCAAAACATTGTTCTGCGGACGATTCCACCTCTCTCTTCCACCCTCGATCCCCTCCTCCTCCTCCTCCTCCTCCTCCTCCTCCTCCTCGCAATCCTCCCCCGCTTGTCCGCACGCTCACCCCGCTCACCAGGCTGTGGTCGCTCGTCCCGTGCCGCCGGATGTTCCCCCCCTCCGCCGTATCACCCCCCCCTCTAGAAGCTCGGCGGGGCCAACAAGAAGGGCGGAATCGACGGGGCGGACCGGCAATCGTAGTTTCATCGTCAAACGGTAGTCTAAGAATGGAGACGGTAGAGTGCAAGGATCCGGAGAAGTGGGTAGGAATCGAAGGAGGTGGAGGAGGAGGAAACGTAGGTGGTGGCGTCGCCATGACCGTAGACTCACCCTCTTCCGTGGTCGCTCCACCACGGACGCACGAGAGCCTTCCTCCTATCTCCTTTATTCCTCCTACCCTCCACAACCTCTCCATTTCCAAACTGGAATTGAACGGTTGTGCCCATCCCCTCGACACCCCTTCCGGTTCTGGCGCTAATGACGGCGCCATCTCACCCTCACCGCCTTACACGGCAATGCTTTCCCCACGGATCATCTCGTCTCATCCCAATCTCAGCCCATTTTCTCCTCCACGGGATCGGCCATCGTCCGGCGCACCCCTCGCGAAGGCAGCCATATTGATCGACGGGACCTGCCGCCACTTCCCCGCTCAACCCACCCTACACCCCTCCCTCTCTCTCCTTCCTCTTTCTCTTCCCTGTCACTTTTCAAATGCTATCTTCCCTTTCACTTTCCAAATGCTAGCTGACTGATCGATCACTCGCCTTCCCTGCCCGTTCTTCAATTACCTCGGAAAAGAACAGATCAAAGAATGACCAAAATCTTATGCCTTTCCACCCTTCTCCCCACGGCCGCGCAAAGCTAGTAAATAAAGCCGCCTCCAATTACCTCACTCACTCCTTGGTAGGTGAATTTCAAACTCGTCCGTACGTGAATCTCAAACTCGTCCGTAAAAAAAAAAAAAAAAAAAAAAAAAAAAAAAACTCGTCCGTACGTGAATCTCAAACTCGTTGGTTGAATAAGATATAAAAAAAAACGATGAAAAAAACATCGTCGTTCCTTTGGAAAGTTAGTCCAGTCCTTCGTTCGTGAGGGAGGGAGGAGTATAATTCCTGACGAGGTACAAGCTCGTGAGCAGGCATAAACTCTCCTGGAGTCTGGACAGAAGAGCTTAGTGCGCCTGGCGTACCACCTTTCTCCTTCTGACGCGTCCGAAGACACCTGAGACCAAGATCTTACCTTGGGTCCTTTGTGCTTGCACCACACCTGCCTCGCTCATCGCGATCGGCAAGTCCTCAGGGATCCGATGTCCATCCAGCGGTTCCTTCCCTCTTCTCCCACAGATCTTACTTACTTCATTTCTTTCTTCATGACGTCTCCTCCCACATATCTCTTCTCTATTCGCCTAATCAATCACCTTCTCCATTCCAATCACCTACCCTTTCCATCACCAACCCTTCCCATCACCTTTCATTCCAATCAACTTGCCCTCTTCTCCTCTCCACTCTTCCTCTTCTCGAGCACGCTCAAGCAGGTACAGAGAACAAGCTGTCGGGAGATCGGTTGTCGTGTGCTGGTGACGCCAAAGGCGGTATTCTCTTTGCTACCGGTAGTAATAATCAACAAATGGGAAGAATAAAGGGGTCAGGAACTAGCCCTGCAAATCGAGCATATGAAAATTTCCATGTCAATTCTCCTCACTCGCATATTTCAGGTCTCCACGACCCTCTCTCTCTCTCTCTCTCTCTCTCTCTCTCTCTCTCTCTCTCTCTCTCTCTCTCTCTCTCTCTCTGTGTCAATTCTCCTCACTCGCATACTCCGTACTGGGCCATCCGCCTTTTTCAGGTCTCCACGACCGTCTCTCTCTCTCTCTCTCTCTCTCTCTCTCTCTCTCTCTCTCTCTCTCTCTCTCTCTCTCTCTGTGTGTGTGTGTGTGTGTGTGTGTGTGTGTGTGTGTGTGTGTGTGTGTCTGTGTTTGTCTGTCTGTCTCTCTCTCTCACCATGTTGCTCTCAGCGAGATTGCGTGCACTCTTAACCTCTGATAGAGGTTAGCAATCGCTCCTGAACGAACTGGTGGACTATTCCACATTTCCCGCACCATCAGGCGACCTCTACACCATTGACATCCTCCAATCACCACATAACGAAGTGAATAACGCTAGCTACACGCCAAGAGCACTGCGACGGCATACCGCTAGCTTCGCGCGGAGGCCATCGCATGGGAATCCCCCTCTCGGCTCCTCCCCCCTTGCTATCGGAGGATGAATGTGAGAATCTCCCTCTCGTCTCCCGCTTGCTATCTTAGGATGGGAATGGGCCTCGCTGCACTACGCTAGACACATGAAAATTTTCAAGAGTTTGTGCAGCGGTGATGAACTCTTGCTTTCTCAAGATTCAAGAGTAGTGCAGCGAGGCCCAATCTCCCTCTCGTAGGCCCAATCTCCCTCTCGTCTCCCGCGCTAGCTACCGCTAGCGTGTTCATTTCTTTTCATACGCCGCCATGAACCCAACGATCTTTCCGCCAAAAGGAACAAAAAGGGGATATCATCCACATAAAGCCCGCGCGAAAGGAAACTAAGCTGATCGGACAATCAGGCACAGTCAATAAACGGAAGGGAAACACCGGCGACGCCGCACTAGTCTCGAAATGTGCAAAACGAGAGTGAATCTTCCGCTAGAATATGGAAAGATGCACCGCCATGATTTTTGTCTTTTGTGCATGTCCAGAGTAGTGCAGCGAGGACTTACGGGCATCGCCACACCGCTCATTTTTTTTTTCTCTCATCGCCACACCACTCTCGAAATGTGCAAAATGAGAATGAACCTCCCGCTAGAACATGGCAAGATGCGTCCGCCACATTTTTGTCTTTTTCACGTTTCGAGAGTGGTTCAGTTGGTACTCCCCTGAACTGTTGAAATACGGCCCTAAACCCAAGAGCCTAGCTCGGGGGGTATACCCATGAACTGAGGAAATACAAACCCGTGTTCGAATCCAGATGACCGAACTTGATGAGTGAAAACCAACTACTAATGAATTGCCCGGGGCCGGTCAGCTCAATGATAATATCTCAAGGCGGTCGCCCTTTTTAAGAAAAACAAAAAAAAGAAATACGGCCCTAAGGAGTTCGAACTGAACTACCGGGTAGCCTGGTATAGGTTGCAAATGCTCAGGCTACCGGTAGCCGCGTCAGAAGATAGGCACGGGGCTGCCTTCCAGAGCTGCTGCAGGGTGCAAGAAAAAGCCATGGCGTCATTGGTTACTTTCATGGATAAAATTGCGGTCAGATACACCCAGACCTGATGCGGCCGTAAGCCATCACACTGACACGTTTTGAACCGAGCTCTGGACTCGATCGCTGTCAGATGCATCCTGGCGGGGCTGCAGTTGCGGTCAGATACATTCAGGAAAATGCTTGTGGTGAGACCGGAAAGAAAATTCAAAAACGATGGGACGTAGATGAGATAGATGAATTGAGAAATGGTCCAAAT